GAGTGACGAACAAAATTATAAACAGTATAATGTTTTTTTGAACGCGCAGTCATTGTCATTAGAGGTGTATGTAGCTAGCCAACCTCACTCCCGTGACAAAATCATCAGTTTTGGTTGGCGTTGATTTTAACTTAGCGATTTTAATCTGTGTAAGTAAGTTGTTACATCGTAGATAATGAATCACGTAAACACGAAATCTAATCAGTCTTCTGAAAAAACCGTAAAAACAGAGTACTCGCTTTGTTCAAGCCTGTTATGTATGTTCAGGTTGAGCCTTAGCATAAAACGTCCGACAGTATCTTAAATAGCGCATTTAATAATAAGGTAAGTAGACTCTGACTTGTGTACAGCTCAGGAGTTGAAACAGGAATCTTAAATGAATTGTTATTCGAACGTCCCGATGACAGTTGGGAACTTGAACTATTCTCTTATCAAAGGAGAAATCACTTTTGAGGATTTTATTTGTTAAACACTCGTCGGTGACTGGCGGCCAACAGGCAGCCTTCGAGAGAAAGTCTGATTAATTTAATTTTACATTTTGCTGATTCAGTATGTGCAGATGATACTAACAGTGTGCTTCATACCGTCCTGTCACCCGATGGTATATGAAAAAAACTATTCATTTGTTAACATCCTTGCTGTTTGAAAAATACATTTTTTAGTGCGTGCATAGTAATGGTCTTGAGGTGTGAAAATTTAGCTTTATTATTCTCTTTGTAGACAGGGTCCAATATTTCGTATACAGTCCTGTAAAGCTAGTGATATATGTGAAGCCGTGTAAAAATAGTAAAAATTTCATTCAATCTTCATTTGCTTATAAAGACTCAATAATTTTTTGTATGGCTTTAGAAGGCAGGTCTAGCGTTGACAGAGTCTGAGATCACTCTAAAATCATGTTTCTATAAAACCAGTAAGTTGTGTATCAAATCACGCAAAAAACCTGAATTAAAGATTTTCATCAGTACCTTATGTTGCTGAACATAATACGCACGCAAGACTGGATACTGAGAGTTTTCCAGAGTAAGAAATATGAGTATCTCCATCAGCAGTACAAATATTGCCCCACCGTTGATATATGGAATTCAGAACTAGCTTGCCCAGATCAGCTGCTGGTGATGTTTCCTTTTTTGAAGAAAAAGATGAGAATAAAGCTTTTACGTCAAGCTAAACTGACATGTAATGTGCAATAGAAATCGGTTGAGGTGACATCGATTGAGGATCGAATTAAGGCTCCAGGAAAAGATATTTGAGGAACCAAATCAAGAAGACACATTTGACGCATATTTTAATTAGTAGAAATTAAGTTAAAGCAAGAACCTGCGGTAAGGCTAAAAATATGATACATTCTTAGCGAATGATGGCCTTCACTCATGGCGTATCGTAGACACGCTTTTACGAAATAATAAAAAATTGTTTGATACACAGCAGCATAGATACCTCTCGTTTTTCTTAAATAATGAACCTCCCAATGAAAAAAATCATCCGCTAGCTATATTGTTCTTTCTTTTGCTGTCGATACATATTCTTTCACATATTTTTATTGTTTGAGAAATGTCTGTTCCTGTACACCTAAACTGGAATCGGTTATAGCGGTGGATGTAACATTAGCGTTTACACACAATAAATAAACGGTAAGCGGAAGATAAAAAAATTAGGTAAGTGCAAGGTCATTTAGGATACTTAACTTCTTAAAAATTATGCTGGAGGTAACGGTAACATATGTAACGACGTCGTCGTGTCCTATATATATATATATATATATATATAGCGCTATGTATTCCTTAATTCGTCACTTCAATACCTCTGATCGTTGTAAGCACGTCGACATAAGTCCCACAAACGAGGATCTAAATTTCGTGTGGGATTCAAATTCTACGAGATTCAATGTGTTTATTACATATCTGAAATATAGTTGGCAGATCTGTATGATCAGATGAAAACTAATTAGACTGTTTCTTTGATCGTACCTCTAATTATCTGTTTTTATAACACGTTTTTCTCTCTTGTTTTCTTCAGCATTTCAATGTTCCCTATAAAATTCCTTACGGCCAATAGAAAAAGCAGCTGGATGAAACTGAAGCATATGAGATAAGCGGCTTCATTCGTAGAAAAACTAAATTGACGTAAACAATCGTATTTATTCAATGGACCCGCTTTTAGCAAATGCATAGCGACACATTTTCGTTTCTCTTTCATATTGATTATGTCTAAATAAAAATATCTAAAAGCTGAATATCTCAGATCTGCTGCATCGTATTAATCATGCGCGTACATTAGGCTTATTTATACAACGATCTTTGCCAGATGAATGTCGTTCGAGTGAAGAACGGCTCTATCTGATGAATTGAAACTGTTTAAGGAAAAATTAATTTTTCAAACGACGGATAAATAAACAGATTACGGTAACAGTATAACGATGGATAGAATACGACGCGCTCTGCCGTAAGCTGTGTGGTTTTGTTTTCTGCCTTTTTCAATTTGCACGTTTTGCGTATATTTCTAATAGAGTAATTTGATTGAGCAGTAGTATATTCAAAAACTGTGCACTCCCCAAATACACATGAAGGTGCAAATGCGTTCCCCATGCATAAGTTTGCTTGTAGACACACACGAATATAGTTAAGTTACTCTGTTCAATTAACTTATCCTGGGAATGCCAATGCTTGTTGCAAAAAATGCGGCCTGTCTTCCTTTCCAAATAGACAATCCCGGTCTTTTTCTACAGCTTTTTATAGGCCGTGCTGTAATCGTAGTTCGACAGCGTCTCGCTAGACATTTAACAATATTTAACGCAACATTCGGTTCAAATTATCGCGCAACGAGAACCTTTCCCTTCATCTATAAATGGGAATTATACTAACTGCCTAACTATTAACTTGCATATAGGCTTAGTGGAACAATACCTATGCTACTTTCTCCTGTAAAACCCATATATCTATTGGGATATATAGGGACAATATTATCCGGTTTGCATATGCAGTATAAAATACTGCAAAGACTTGTCCCCCATGAAAGCATACTACGATTTTTAGCCCGCCGTCCCTGAAACTGGCCTTTTAGGCCAATGAAATCTGGCTAAACTGTACTACATCAATACCTATATTCACAAATTATTTGAAACGGTATAGTATTTCTGTTAACTATTCTAGGCGTCAATTGAAATTATATTCTTTCTTCGATCGTCTTCGAACGATCTTCTTGTTT